TAAGCCTCGCTTTTTTCATAGAAAAATTTTTTTATAGAAATCTATTCTCTTTTTTTTTTTTTTTTTTTCACGTCTCTCTTCTATCCCAATTTACAGAAAATGAAGACATCTAATAACCCTGTCTACTTATATGCCTTATTCCTGGTAACCATCTTTACTCTTTCGCCCGTCGTTAAAGCAGCATGTTCAGCCTCAGTTGACTATTCCGCATGTATCGCGTCGGGAAGCTCCTCATCGGCTTCTTGCACTAGTACACCAAATAACTATATCTGCCAGTGTAATGCTCTTTCAGGTATGAAAATTTTAAAGAATTTAAGAGGATGAATTATCAACTAATCAATCGTTCTAATTTTTGTATAGCTATGTCAAATTGTTATTTACTTTGTACTGAGGATAGCAGTATTGCAGCAATGGCCACGCAAATGCAGGTAAAAAACATAATTCCCAAGTTACTTTACTTAACGATTACTAATTCTCTCGAAAAAACTTCTCAGCCTGCTTTCAGTCAAATATGTTCCTTAGCCGCTAGTCAGAGTTCTACCGCATTTCCTAAAGTGACTCAAACTACGACTCAACCTCAAACTACACCAACAGCCGCTTTAACCCCCGCTCTGACTACGTCATCGATACCAACGCCTACTGCTTCAACCACTCCTACCAAGAGCGATGCCTCTATTATTGTCGCTCTTATTAACGAACATCTTTTCTTATTAATTGCCGCTCCTCTAATCGCATTTGTTATCATATTGTTGTAATCAATGACAGTTTTGTAATGTAATTTTACTTGTGCGAGACAATCCTCGCATCCTAATTTGATATTTCAAAGTTCTCGTGAAACAAACAATTCATTCTAATAAATAGGGCATCTTGCAACTATAAAAATTTTCGAATGTATATTGTTTATTAATAATATATTTCTTTTGAAAGAGAATGTTATTAGTTAACTTTTTTTATTTTTTTTTAACCCGTAACCAGTCTAACTAAAAGATATCCCTTTATTCATATTTAATAAATAAAATAATCTTTTTAATCTTTTAATGATTGACAATTTTTTTTTTTTATAATTCGGCTAACAGGCATACATGTCATTACCAATTTCTTTATCAGTATATAGTGTGGGACATTCGCTTTTGGAAAATTTTAATTAATCATAATTTAATTAAAAAGGTTACTAATATAAAAAATATATGTTTTTTAAAATTTAAAAAATTATTATTATCATTATTTCTAACACACAACCATGCCATTTGGCTTATCTTTGTTGAAAAGTTTATATAATTAACTATAATATTACAGATTTTTACAAAAGCAACTAACTTATTATTGTATCTAAGTATTTTAAATCAAGTTTAAAAAATAATATTTTATTTTTCTAAAAGATTGATATTAATTTCTAATTTTTAGATTTATCATAAACAGTTTGTTACTATTAATTGATTTAAAAAATCATGAATTGTTAAAATTGTTAAATTAAAAAAAAATAAAATAAAAAAGTAAATAATTCAAGATTTCTTCAAAAAGTTAATCAAAAATAATATTATAACTTTTATTTAATATATTTACTATATGTTATTTGTGATTAAAACTTTCTT